CCTTGAACGGTCGGCCGTTTCCGAAACGTCAGAGCGTTCAACATCGGCCCATAGTGGGTCGCCGGCGGCGTCCAGCGTGCAACGCCGGCGGCGGGGTCGCCGCCGGTCAACACGACGCGCGCGAACCTACCGTCCCAAACCACCCCGACCCAACCCGAAGTCGCCGTCGGGCCTGTCAGCTTCCTGACTACCTACCAGACCACCCCAACCCAACCCGAAGACCCGAATTTGATCCGAATTTCGGATTGGGAGGGGTACGGATACCATGTGTTTTTTCCAACGTTCCCCGACCCCCCCCCGCTGGAAATGGAAGGCAAATTGGGGGCTTCGGGTTGGGTTGGGGTGGTTTGGTGGGTGGTCAGCTTCCAGCAGGAGCATCCGAAAATGCGGAGAAAACGCAAAATGGACCCCGTGCAGCTCCCAGCCCGAAATCTGGGAGGGCCTGGGACCTTCGGGTGGGGTGGGGGCGGTCTGGTAAGCATTGAGTCGGGCCTGTCTCCCTGCAGGGGGAATTTTCGAGGAAAAATTAAAAATGATCCAAAAAAATATTCAAAAATGGTCAGAAAATATTCAAGAAATCGTCCCCAGACTATTTTTTTACTATTTTTGAGTATTCCCCCTGTAGAGGGACACGCCCGACTGAAGTCTGTAAGCAATGAGAGTTGGGCGGGCGGCGCCGAGCCTCGTGCCTTCGCTTCGCCACTCGCAGGAGCCTGCTGTGTACACCACGTCGTTGGATCGGCCAACGAGCTCGGTGTACAGACGCCCCAGCTGCCCAACCGTTTTAGGAAGCAACTACTGGGAGGTTTTCGTCGGAAAGATGGAGGAGGATTAAGCCCCATCTGGGAGCTGTTACGCTGGAGTGGGCCTCGGATTACGCGGGATTAAGCCGGATTCAGCTGGATTCAGCGGGATTAAGCGGGATTAAGCCAGATTGAGCTGGATTTCGGACCAGGGCAAAAGCAGAATTTGACCTCCCAGGAGTTGCATCCCCAACCTGTGGGACGCTGGAGTTCGGCGTATGCACCGAGCTCCTTCGCCAAACTCCTTGGCTCCCTGGCCGACCCAGCGACATCGTGCATGCATCGAGCCCCCCGAGCCATGACGGAGGAGCCATGGGAGAAAGAAAAATGCGGTGTCGCTGGGGAGCGAGATCCACGAAGCGCTCGAGAGGTCCTCCTGGCCCTGGGAGCTTGTCTGGTCCCCGGGTTTTCGCAAACATGCAGTGGCTATCGCAAGGCGTCCCTTTTTCAGAAACAGCCTTTGAATGACGCCCGTACTGCAGATCACATTCCGGGAGGGACCAACAGAATGTGAAACCTTCCCTGCAAGAAACTACTTGGCATCTGATATCCAGCTTTGGTCGCTCAGAGGGGGACTTCACGTTCAAGATGGTCTGCAAGGCTCCAGGACCAGACGACGAGCAACGTGTGCGAATAGATAACCAGGGCCCCAAGACATGAGCGCATGGAGCCTCCCCGCACAAGTTTCTGCCTTTTCCCCCTTCCCGGTGTCTCGCAGCTGACTATCGCGACCCTGCTCCAAGCACGGTCTGTTGCCGGACCGGACAGAGCGGCAGGGGCTGGAATGCCAGACTGGCTTCCCAGAAAGTAGCAGCGCAACGCGCGACGGAGGAATCGGTGCACTGCAGGCCCCATCCGCTCCATTAAAGGTGAGCCACAAGGAATGCCTGTTGTCCAGCACAGGCATCTGGCGGCTCGAACTTTTAGAGACGTGGGTCATCGGACCTTTCGACCCCTTCCCAGGGACCGCTTTGTCATCCCCGATCGCTCGTGTTGATAATCCTGGGGGCTGATTCGGGCTTCTGGAGGCCGAAACCGAAGAAAAGATACGCAAGTATCAAACAAACGAACTAACGAACTAACTAACAAGCAACCAACAAACAAACAAACAAACAAACAAACAAGCACACGAACAAACGAACACACGACGTCGAAAGTCCAGGGTCGTCCCAGACCCAAATGCTGACCGTTCCATGAGTGCCACGCCGCAGGCCCCGTGCCCGCTGGCCAACCCGAGGGCCAAGGTGCCCAGGATCGGCCAGGCGGGCCCTCCTCGGGCAGCGCAGAAGCGAGACTGGCCGTCTCTCTACCCTTCTGCCAGGGCGCGAGCTAGACTTGAGTCGGGCGTGTCCCCCGACAGGCGGGAATCGGACGAAAAATTAAAAATACTCAAAAAGTACCCCCCGAAGGCTCTAAAATTGTCAAAAAAGTCGTGCCCTGGACTATCTTTGGACTATTTCTGAACATTCCTCCTGTAGAGGGACGTGCCCGACGTACAGCTAGACGGTGTCTTCCGTCTCTGCTGCAAAACGACATGGTTCAGCTCGCGCCCTGCTTCTTGCCTGCTTCTGGCGTCAGGAGGGCCGGCATGGTGGTCCCCGGGCCGCCAAGGCCCGGGCAAGTGCGCACAGGACAGAACGGCCACCAGAAGCAGCCCAGGCCAGCCTCCACAGGCCACCAAGGATCCTCGAACCCAGACCCCGACGCCGTGATTTGCTCACACCTTGGACTCCCAGAGCTCTCGACCCCCGTCCCCGACGCCGACTCGCATCCCAGGCCACCTCCCAAGCGTCACGGGGGGGCCGGTAAGGACCCCCTGGAGGCCAGAAGTTGCCAACAGCCATCCGCCCCGCGATTGCTGCACGGCGTGAGGGTTAAGTCGGGCGTGTCCCCCTACAGGGGGATTTTCGACGAAAAATAAGAAATACTCCAAAAATGCTCCAAAATGGTCAAAAAAAAACAAAAATAGTACCCAGACTATTTTTCAACTATTTTTGAAGATTCCTCCTGTAGAGGGACAGGCCCGACTTAACGTGAGGGGGCCAGGCCCAGACATTTTGTCGATCGTTTTTGTCAATGCGCGGCCCCGGAGGTCCCAGGTAGTCCTGCACCCCTGGATGCATGCTTCGATGGCCGCAGGGCCCAACAACGGCCCCCAGAGGCCGAAGTCCAAGAAGGAAGCCTGGATCGAAGAAAAAACACCAGACCCCTGAGATCCGACGCTGCGAAGAGCTCACAACATCGTCAAAAATCACGACGGGGTCCCAGGACCCCATCTTTCTGCTGCACGTTTGAGCCCGATCGATCGATCTGTGAGGGCCCCGTGGCCCGAAACCCGGCGAAAGCGCCCGGTGTGGCAGAATTGCAGCGCCCGGATGTCAGGGCGAGCATCGCTGAACCGATCCCTGTCCCCACTGGCCGATGTACCCCCCCTCGGTGGGGACCTGGGCTGCTCCCTTCGGGTTTCGAGGGGCCTATGCCCGAGTGCAACTTGGGTGGTGGGATGGTGTGGATGGGCACCCAGAGATCCGACGCCGTGTTTTTGTCAATACGCGGTCCCCGGAAGTCTTGACCCAGTCCCCAGGACCGGTTTTTCATCCCGAGTCGTTTTTTGACGGCCCCGAGGCCACGCGAGGGCCCCTGGGGGCCGAAATGTGCGAAAAACCTCCGTCTTAATTTTTTCAATGCGCTGGATCTCTCGGGATACTGATGAGGCCCAGGATAGAAGAATCAGAAATGAAAGGATCTTGGCCCCCAAAACCAATGACCAGTGGGTCGGGATCGGTGACCCGAGGCCGCGGCTCGTCGACAAGACCTGGGACACGGAGCTCTCCGCCCGCCCGCGGAGAGCCGGCCAGGCCGCCAAAGGCCTGGGGGCTGCCGCCTCGGCCGGGCGGCACACGGGCTGGCCGGGCCAGCCGAGCCGGCCGCGGGGGTGCCGTCTCCTGATGCCCGGCGAGAAGTCCCAGACACGATGACGTCGTGAAAATTTCGGGACGGGAGGTTTTTCGCTAGTTTCGGCCTTCGGGGGCCCTCGCCGGGCCTCGGGACCGTCGGAAAACGACTCAGGACGAAAAACCGGTCCTGGGGACAGGAGGGTCGGGACTTGCGGGGACGCCGTTCTGAAAAAATCAAGACGTCGCATGTCTGGGATAGTACCACATTTTTCCCCTTAGGGGCGTGCGTCCGACCAAAACGTATATAGTATGCCCATGTTGCAGCAGGTCGTGTCCCGAGCGGTGTGGCCAGAAAGCGCCCGCCACGACGCATGTACCATGAGATTCCTCGGTGCGCGGCGTGTCGCCCCATGGGGGGCGACGCACACACAGGATTCGCAGGTTGGGGCGACGCCGAAGGAGGACGAGGGCACGAGGGGGGGGCACAGCGCCGGCATGCAGGCGACCCTCCAGGGCCCCGAGGCGAGCCTGACTCCGACGATCCCGGCGTCCTGTTGCCTCGCTTGGGGCCTCCGGGGCCCGCGGTCGGGTCCCGGGGCCAGCAAAGCTGGACGCAGGGCGAAAAATGGGCCCCGAGAAAGGGGTCCGGGAGCCCTGGGACCGCGCATTGAAAGAGTCAGCTCGTCGGATGTCTGGGTCGATCGCCTCACCGCCGCAGTCGCTTCTCTCTCTCTCTCTCTCTCGTGGCCGAGGGGCAGCCTGGCTGCATGGTGCACCCCCGCGGCGATCGAAGGGGCTGTGAGGAGTTCGAAGCGAGAAGGACGAGGAGGAGGGAGGCCAGAACAGGTTTTGACGCTATTGTCTGTTTTGTTGTTCACTCATCTCTCCCCTTCGGCAGCTGGCTAAATTTAAGTCGGGCCTGTCCCCCTACAGGCCGATTTTGGACGAAAAATTGAAAATGGTCAAAGAATACCCCCAAATGGTCAAAAATAATCAAAAAATCGTCCCCTGACTATTTTTGCACTATTTTGACATATTTCCCCTGTAGAGGGACAGGCCCGACTTAAGGCTAAATCACTCTGTATTCTTGCGGGCCCCTCTACTTTTCCTGCACTATGGGCGCTTCTTTTCCCGCACGAGCCTTCTGCCTGATTGCTGTAGGCCGTGTGCCGCAGTCGGTGTCCTGCTGCAGATTTCCATTGCTGCAAATTTGCCACCTACCTCTTCCGCAGAAGCGCGACAGCCTCGTAGCTCATGCTTGCCTGACGTCGGAGAGGGGGTCCAGACTTCCGAGAGATTGGTTTCTGTTCGATTTGTGACGTCTTCGTCGGCTGCGGCCCTCTGGGGGCTGAGCTCGGGCCCTGTGGAACACCATAACCGTGACAGGTTATGCACTTAATCTCAAGGTCCAACCATGGGAGTGATACAACTTGTACCTGTACCACAACCTTTCGGATGATGAGGTTGGAGGTAGGGAAGACCCACTGCCGACAAGTGAGATTGATTTGATGGCCACGATGCTGGCGTTTCGCTTGCGAGATGGCAAGGATGCGCGATTACGCTAATAGTGAGAATGCATCATGACCCGCCCATCGAGTTTTTCAATCCCACTACCGATCTCACTATCTATTTCACCATCGATCTCACTTTCGATCCTGTTATCGATCTCTCAACAGATCTTACGAGACACCATCGGGACACCACGATGGGGCACCCCCAGCCACGGCTGGGCACCCCTGGCCAAAGATCTGTTGCGATCGATCTCACCAGCGATCTCACACTCGATCTCACTATCGATCACGCAATCGATCCCACTATCAATCTCACGATCGATCTCACAACAGATCTCACGAGCTACCATCGGGACACCACAGCGGGACACCCGGGACCACGGTCGGGAAACCCCCCGCGTCACCGACGGGGCATCCCCGACCAGGCCACCGGTGGGGGGCTCTCCATTCCACTGCGATCTCACCCCCCTCGCCTCGATGGTGATTGTAACGATGGCGCCTGGGACACCACGTGGGCACCGCCAGGACATCCCGCTGTCGATCTCTCTGTCGACCTCACTGTCGACCTCACTATTGATCTCACTATCGATATCACCATCGATCTAACTATCGATCTCTCGGTCTCACGATCGATCCCACGATTACGATCGATCACGACCGATCACGCAATCGAGCTCACGATCGATCTCGCTATCGATTTCACAACTAATCTCACGAGCTAACATTGAGACACCACGGCGGGACACTCTGAGCCACCTTCGGGACACCCCGCGCCAGCGACGGGGCAACCTGCGCCAGCGACGGGGCACCCCCGCGCCACCGACAGGGCACCCGGGACACCCGCGCGCCACCGACGGAACACCGACGCGACACCTGCGCGCCACCGATGGGGCACCGACGGCCACCGCGCGCCAAGGGGGGTGGGGGGACGACCGGCTCCACAGCCACTAGCCACGGCGGCATGGTTCCTCTCGCGCGCCCACGCAGCGTCGCCTCGCCCGCACGCACGACACGAACACGAAACCGAAACCGATGTCCCGGTGGGGGGCTGTCCATTCCGCTGCGATCTCATCCCCCACCCTCCGACAAACGACTCACCCGAATCCAGGTACTTCATGTGCTGAGAGAAGCCTCTCTGCTACGACCCACTGCGGTTCATCCGTCACGGAGGGATCCGAGGTGAGATGCGAGCCGGGGCCTCTGGGGGCCCGCAGAGACAGGGGAGCCAAGACGGGAGGTTTTCGGAAGTATTCAAGTATTCGGCCCCCGCGGGCCCCAGGGTTGTCAAAAACGACTCGGGATCAAATGCTGGGCCTGGGGAAGAGGCCTAGACCTCCAGGAGTCCGCGTTGCGAGAAAAAAAACACGTCGGGGGCCTGGGGGGTAAGAGGGAGAAGAAAGAGGACTACCTTGGGACCACCTTGCGAAGTAACCCAGTACTGCCTACAGCAGCCCCTCAAGTGCCAACGGGTGCACACAAATTCAAACCTTTCTGCGAGAAAACGCTCTCGCCACAACCTATCCCAGTGGACAGGCGCCACATTTCAGAAGAGGATGAACTTAGACAGCAACAACCTCGCAAGGCCTTCCAACAAAGGGGAACAGGGAGGCGGAGAAGCGGGACGAGAAGCAGGAGCAGAGAGCATGCGGCCGCCGCCGCGCCGAGACCGCACGGAGAAGTCAGCCAGGGGGCGGCCAGCTGGCCTCGACAGGGGCTCTGGCGAGCGGGGGCGGACGAGCAAGGCGTAGGGGAGGAGGGAGGCGCAGGCCCCCTTGGCGTCGGGGGGGAATATATATATATATGTGTGTATAAATACATATATACATACCTACATACATACATGCATGCATACATACATACATATATACATACATACATGCATGCATGCATACATGCATGCAGACATGCATACATGCATACATGCATACATGCATACATACATGCATACATGCATACATGCATACATGCATACATGCATACATGCATACATGCATACATGCATACATGCATACATGCATACATGCATACATGCATCCATCCATCCATCCATCCATACATACATACATCCATACATACATACATACATATATACATACATACATACATACGTACATACATACATACATGCATGCATGCATGCATGCATGCATACATACATACACATACATACACATACATACACATACATACATACATACATACATACATACATACATACATACATACATACATACATACATATATACATACATACATACACACATACATGTATACATACATATACGCATACATACACAATACGGGCATACCTACATACATACATACATACATACATACATACAGACAGACAGACAGACAGACAGACAGACAGACAGACAGACATACATCTGTGTATATATATATATATATGCACATATAAATACATATATAAATATATCCACGAATAACAAAAAACGGTGCAAGTTCCAGGCCATTTGCGGCACCCGGGGGCCCTCCATCTGGGCCCCCGGGCCGTCCAGAAGCGACCCCCGAGATGACAAAAAACCGGCCCCCGGGGAGCGGGGCGAGACCTCCTCTCTGCGGTCGACGACGTGATCACGCAACGTCGGGGCTCGGGGGGGAGATCTCTCGGGGTCGACGACGTGGCAAGATCACAACGTCGGGGGTCGGGGGGGGGGAGGGGGGGCGAGGAAGCACAGGCCTTCGCCGTGGAGCGGGTCGAGACCTCCTCTCGGGGCCGACGCCGTGAAGGGATCACACAACGTCGGGGGTCTGGGGGGGAGGAGGGGGGCCAGAAAACACGGGGGGGGCGGAGGCGAGGAAACACGGGCCTTCGCCGCGGAATCCTCCTCGCTGCGCGGGCCCTTTTGACCTCCGGACCCTCTCCCAGGGACCGGCCGCTCTGTTCTGCTCCCCTGGACCGTCCTGTGCCGGCGACCCGCGGGGGCCCAGAACGGGCCCCTGGGACGCGGAAAAGAATCGAAACAGCTCCGTCGTCGCGCCATGTCCCAATTGCGGTTCGCTCGAGGGTTCTCCCAGTGGTACCAAGCCACAGAAGAGTCGTCCCACAAGGGGGGACGGGGAGAGCCCGAGACCGCCCTGTCCGGAGGCGGTCCGGCGACGGTTCCGCCCGCGACTTCCTCACAAGCTGTTCCGGAGTCGTGCTCTCGCCCCACTGAGGGCCACGTGCTTGGTCTGGACGGCAGCAGTCCCTTGACAAAAAACTGCACTGAGGTGCTCATGGTCTTGCTCTCAACGCGAGGGGGTCTGGGGAGGAGGAGGAGGAGGAGGAGGAGGAGGAGGACGAGAAGGAAAAGAGGGAAGAGGAGGGAGGAGGAGAAGGAGGAGGAGGAGGCGGGGGTCTGGGCCGTGCGCTTCGTGGGGTGGCGCCGCGGTCGGGTGTCTCGCCTCCAGACGGTGCCGTCTCGAGTGCTCCAGCAAGCGGGGTGAGGTGCTGTTCTTCTGGGAGGGGCTCAATGTCATTGGGCGCCTCCCCCTCCTGCTGCTCCTCCTCCTCCTCCCCCTCCTCTCTCCTCCTCCTCCTCTCCTCTCCTCCCCTCCCCCTCCTCCTCCTCCTCCTCCTCCTCCTCCTCCTCCTTTCCTCCTCCTCCTTTCCTCCTCCTCCTTCTCCCCCTTCCCTCCTACCCCTCCTTCTCAGTCCCCGTCAAGACAAAAGGCGAGAGGGGACAGCACAGAGGAAGAACAACACGGCACAAGCATGAGCTCCCGGGGGTCCAGGCGGATTTCTTGGATCGGCGCCGGACTCAGCTCCCTGGCGGAGCGGCGCCGGGGACGCGCCGCCAGAGGGGGGTCCAGTGCCAATCAGAGAGCGCCTCACGGGCCCCCGTGCCGTTCCTTGTCCTTTGAGAGGATGCACGGAGCAGAGAGAGGAGGCCAGCTCTGCCCAGAGCTCCGACGTCATGATTTATGTCACACGCACACACACACACACACACACACACACACACACACGTGGGCCCCCTGAATGTCTGGACCTTTCCATGGGGACTGGCCTCGCGTCCTACGTCGTTATTTGATAGCCCTTGGGACGGACCCCAGGGACAGACAAGGCCCCCCTGGAGACCGAAAATTGTCCAAAACCTCCTGTCGCGTTTTGGTCACAACGCGTGAAAGGCTCTGGGTTGGTTGTCGTTTTCGGAAGGAGCAGGGGAGGAATGAGGAGGAGGAGGAGGAGGAGGAGGAGGAGGAGGGAGGAGGAGGAGGAGGAGGAGGAGAGGAGTAGGAGGGAGAGGAGGAGGAGGAGGAGGAGGAGGAGGAGGAGAGAGGAGGCGGAGGAGGAGGGAGGCGGGGAGGAGGAGGAGAAAGGGCGAGAGGGGGAAAGGAGGAGGAGGGGGGGAGGAGGCGGAGGAGGGAGGAGAGGAGGAGGAGGAGGAGGTGCGGCGGAGGGAGGAGGACGAGGAGGAGGAGGAGGAAGGAGGGAGAAGAGGAGGAGAGGAGGAGGAGCGACGAGGAGGAGGGGAGGAGGAGGAGGAGGAAGGGGGTCCGAGGAAGGAGACAGACGGCGACCCCCCCCCGAGGAGGAGGAGGAGGGAAGGAAGGAAAGACGTGGAGGAGGAAAGCAGGGAACTGACCACCCTTCCTCCTCCTCCTCCTCCTCCCACTGGGCCTCCTCCCTTCCGGCGGGAGGAGGCCGGGAGGCCGCTCACCCCGCTCGCGCTGGAGGCCCCGGAGACGGCGGCACGGCCAAGGCCGTGCCGCAAAGGGGGCGCGGCGCGGCCGCCTCCGCCGCGGAACGGGCGATGCCCAGCACAGCCGCTCTCAGAGCTCCTCGTCGCGGTACTTCCTGACGGCCTCCTTGGAGCCCGCCCCGCCCTGCGCGCGGGGGGCGGCGCGAGGCCCCACCCGCGAAGGAGTTGGTCCCCAGCATTCTCGCGTCGTTGCTTGTTGATTGTCGTCTTCTCACCTTTTCGCTTCCAATGTACATCCATCGTTTCAGCATGTCCCCAAGATGGCCTGAGAGTCAACACGTAAAGCTCCAGAAGGGACCCAGAAGCCCCAAAGGCCCCTAAGAGCATCCCAAGAGACCCACAAGAGATCCCCAAGAGACGATGTGTCTGTCATACCTCAAGGCTCCACAGCGGCTTCAAGATAGCCCCGAGATGGCTCCAAGCCCAAGCTGGCTAACGTGTGAGGCTAATTGGGATGATCCCTGCTTCGGTTTGTCTGGGATCCTCGCTCTCACCTAGTTTCTCTAATACTCCCCTACCTCCCTTGCAACGACATGTCGACTGGGATAGGTTTTGAAAATGGGGCTGGTGGGAGCGCACGAAGCGCACAGACTTACAAGCGCTGACAGGGTGTTCGACGGACTTACAAGGCAAACGGTGAGCTCCCGGCTGACACGCGTGAAACAGGAAGTCAGGGAGATCCAGGATGGCTGCCTGAAGCAGGAAATGGGTAACAGCACGAGCTACCCTTCTTGCGTGCAAAGACCAGGTCCCCCCTCGTCCCTCGCCTCCTCCTCGTCCTCCTCCTCCTCCTCCTCCTCCTCCTCCTCGTCCTCCTCCTCCTCCTCCGCCTCCTCCTCCTCCTCCTCCTCCTCCCCCCCTCCTCCTCTCCCTCCTCCTCCTCCTTCTCCTCCTCCTCCTCCATCCCTCTTCCTCATAGATAACTCCTCCTTGTCGCACCTCTGGACGTGTCGGCAGGGCGGGCGGGACGTTTCGCCTGAGACTTCCTCGTCACTTACGACCCTGAAGCTTGAAATCCCCAACAGCTTCACAGGGCCAATTCACACACTGGGCCACTTCCCCCAACGTAAATATTAAAGGGACATACAAAGGAGGAACTTGGAAAGCGGGTACATTGCAACATGGCTGATGCGCCGAGGGTTTTGCTTACACTGATCCTCCTCCTCCTTCCCTACTACTACTACTACTACTACTACTACTACTACTACTACTACTACTACTACTACTACTACTACTACTACTACTACTACTACTACTACTACTACTACGACTGCTACTACCACTACTACTAGAACTACGACTGCTACTACCACTACATCAACGGTGTTTCACTGAAATCCTCCCTCCAAGCTCCATCTTTATAGGTCCCTACAACAAACTGTCTCCATTGCGGGAAGTGCACCATTGAGAGACGACCGTCTGAAAATCCTCCGTCGCGCCAAAACAATATTCCTGGGAGTTCAACGCCGCGAATTAACCTGACTGCTGCGTCCTGGTAATCCTGAGGAGGAGGAGGAGGAGGGGGAGGGGGAGGAGGAGGAGGAGGATGAGAAGTGCTGGGGGTGATGAGGCTGCAAGATTAGGCAGCCGCAGGTGAACCCTGCCCCAACTGCCCATTGAGTCGGGCCAGGGGAGGAGTCAGCAGGGCGGGCTCAGAAATCACGAGTGGGCACCAGCGAGGTGAATCCCCCTCCGGCAAACCCCTAGCTACTGGTCAAAATCGATGGGCAGCAGGCGGCAGGTTTCACATGCGGCTGCCCAGGAGCTGCATCCGCCTTCCCAGGGATCGGAAGGATGGTGCTGCACTCGCACTTCGACTTGACGGCCCCGGAGCGGGAGAGCTCCTCGCGGTACCTCGCCGGGGCGCGGGGCCGCCGCCCCCTCAAGGCGGTGGCAGGAGGCGAGCACGCAGGGCGCGGACGCCGGCGGATCTCTGAGAGCTGGCGAGTCCGAAAGATGCACCAGTAGAAAAACACAAACGTTCGGGAATCCGCCTGGATGTCTGGTTGGTGCTGGATCCCCTCCACTGGCGCGCGAAGCGCGCCAAGGACGGCGACAGGGGCGCCGCCAGGGGGGGTGGGGGGTCAGCGCCGACCCAATCAATCCGCGCAGTCCGCGGCTGTTCCAGTGCGCTCCAGAAGGCTCTGGAACGAAGCATTTGTATCCTAGGACTGTCTGACCCATGCCTCCCTCCCACCCTCTCCCGTTTGCATCTCACGTTCCCTTCTCTTCCTCTCCAGCCTTATGTAAAACCTGCACTTTTGCATATCACATTTATGCTCGTAGCTTAACCTCGCACCTGCTGCAGGCCTCTCCTCCTCCCCCACCCACACCCGTTCCCAGGAACGGTGAAGTGTTTGAGCCAAGGTGCACTAGGAACGCTATGGGCGGCTCCTGTGCTGACGAAACACCACCTGAGCTTTTAGGACCATCCCCCCTCACTTCCTAGATCCCCCTCTTGGTGCGGACAACAATGCATCGCGCTGCCTGCCCTTGCAGCCCAGCAGCTCTTCCCCAGAGAGGGCGGGTCATCTCCAAAGGGATCTGGGGGTGGAGGGGAAGGAGGAGGAGGAGGAGGTGGGCAAATCCTGAAGACTGTGGCACACCGCAGCAATTCGTCGTCAGTGGCAGTGGCCCACCTGACGTGGAAAAGGACGGGCCTAAGACTGTATTGCTCCCTTGCCGTCCCTAGTCCCCGTCTCAGCACGCAGTCGGGCAGCCTCCTTATCATCAGAAGGGAAGTGGAGAAGAGGAGGAAGAGGAGGAGCGAGCGATCTCCCAAATGCCGCCCTGCGACGGCATTGGTGTGTCTTGCTACCCCTATTGCCCATAAAAAGAAGAAGAGAAAGGGAGGCATGACGAGCGACGGAAAGGATATATAGGAGGAAGGCGAGCGCAAGAGTGTGAGTATGGCGTAGGGTGGGAATGCAAGTATGAGTGCTGGTCCAGGCAGGTGTAGGTATGCATCAGGCGTGGTTGTGGGAAAGGTTGCGGGCGGGCGCATGGGCCAGGGCAGAGACAGGGGTACGCGGATGGATATAAGAATATATATATATACTATATATGGGCACACTCATTGTTTCTGGGTATGGGTACGGATTTGTGTGAGGCTACCAAAATAAGGCCTGGTGCGGGTTATAAGTAGGAGGTGGGTATGTGTATGGGCACGAGTTGTGCGCATGAGTATGGGTCTGAATGGTAACAATGAGTCCAAAATATATTCCGCATTGAATAATGTGCGAAGTCTCTTATATGTTGCGGATTCTTACAAGTCGTTGTCTGTCACGGTCACAGACAAGACCGTCTCTTTGGGGCCCCAACCAAGCAGGTCATTCGGTTTCTTCTTGCCCCCCTCTGACCCTGAAGCATTCTCTGTGCTAAATGGGCCGTCCGCGCTTACAACTCCCGCTTCTGAATCAGGGGGTGGCCCACCTGACCGGGGAATGAGCTCTTCCAACGGGTGATACGGCTCCACCCTCTTACCTGCTCGCGGAATTGCGCGCTGAATCGCACCCTCGGACTGGGCCTACTCATTCACACAGCACTGAGAATGGGAGGAATCGTCATATCAGGAACGCAGAGCCTTCCCAGCAGAGGGCGGCGATGATTGATGCCGAAGCTGGCGGCGCTTCGTGATGATTCATGCGTGCAGACACTACCGAACTTGTCACCACGATTGACCTGCAGTTGTCATTTCTCAGTTTGACATTACCACTTATCACGCCAGCATGCCATGACTGCTCACACGGTCAGTCTTCAGGGCACCTCAACAGCGGGTGCGTCTCGGAATCGCAGTCGTGTCTCTGCCCGTCGTCATCCTGAAGAACACCCAACACGGCGGACGGGATGCGTTGACGGCATAAGAACAGGCAACAAAAATGAAAAAGAAGCTCGTATGGGTGATACATGGTTGAGCCCTCTGAGTGTAGGTGGTGCAGAGCGCGAGCTCTTCTCAAGCAAGCCTGTCTTCGGGTAAGGGTATGCCTCCTCTCCTCTCCCCCCTCCCTGGGGGTCTGCACAGGCAGGGTCGTGAGGGATTGGGTGTCCAAGATAGGCCTCGGTGATTCCAAGATGGACCCAGATAGCTCAAGAGTTCATCCAAGATGGGGCGAAATAGCGCAAGTTGCCCCAGATTGCATCCAGCAGGGCTCCAAGAGGCTCCAAGAAAACCTTAAGACGGCTCAGAAGTGGCTCTGGAGGTTCGCGCGGATACCCCTGAGAGGTCAAAAGTATTGAGTTGAAAAATGCTCGTTGATTGTCGTCTTCTCACCTTTTCGCTTCCAATGTGCATCCACCGTTTCAGCATGTCCCCAAGATGGCCTGAGAGTCAAAACGTAAAGCTCCAGAAGGGCCCCAGAAGCCCCAAAGGCCCCTAAGAGCATCCCAAGAGACCCACAAGAGATCCCCAAGAGACGATGTGTCTGTCATACCTCAAGGCTCCACAGCGGCTTCAAGATAGCCCCGAGATGGCCCAAAGCCCAAGCTGGCTAACGTGTGAGGCTGATTGGGCTGATCCCTGCTTCGGTGTGACTGGGACCCTCGCTCTCACCTAGGTTCTCTAATACTCCCCTACCTCCCTTGCAACGACATGTCGACTGGGATAGGTTTTGAAAATGGGGCTGGTGGGAGCGCACGAAGCGCACAGACTTACAAGCGCTGACAGGGTGTTCGACGGATTTACAAGGCAAACGGTGAGCTCCCGGCTGACACGCGTGAAACAGGAAGTCAGGGAGATCCAGGATGGCTGCCTGAAGCAGGAGATGGGTAACAGCACGAGCTACCCTTCTTGCGTGCAAAGATCAGGTCCCCCCTCGTCCCTCGCCTCCTCCTCCTCCTCCTCCTCCTCCTCCTCCTCCTCCTCCTCCCCATCCCCCTCCTCTACTCCTCCTCCTCCGCTTCCGCGACCGAGTGGGTAGACACTCAACTGCTGTGCGGCAGCCGAGCAGACGGCGGCGGCATGGGGCGACCGCGGTCCCAGCAGGGATGCGCCCGACATATGCACGACTTCTCCTTGTCGTCGAAGTCGAGAATCGGGTGCTGGGAGTCGTCCTCGGGTCTCGGGCACACCACCCTCGTACTGGACTGATCCGACAATCGAAACCAACCACTTCCTTGCCCCTTGGTCCGCCCTTTTCAGAACCCCGCCACTGAGTGAGCCCCCGTCCCCCCTTCAAGAGCCACAGCCCCCAGTGCTAGCCCCGACCAGAACTTACACGATTGGCCCTTGATATCCCCCGACCAGCCCATGTGAGAGCCTTCCCCCCCACGCCATTGGGCCTGAGGGGCCAGAGTCCCTACTCCTGCTACGCTTCTTCCTCTCTGATCGGCTCAAAAGCCTGGGGTGCCTATGCACTCACTACCTACCCAGAGGACAAGCAAGCACCTTCGCAGGCAACTGTCGCACTGAAGTTGAAATGGTGAAAAAACAATCCTGGTCCTCCTCCTGTTCACCACCACCAGTCGAACGTCTCATCCTTGACACCCTCCTTGCTGAACCTCCGCTTCCGGATCCAGATCGAAGTGCTGGACTGGGTCCAGAGCTGGACTGAAGCCAAGCGTTAAAAAAAATGAATGGCGGCGCCCTCCCGCTTAACGTAGAAGGGCAGCACGCACGCGTTGGTAAACAGCACCGGGCGAGGAGTTGAGTATCCTCTGCCCTCAATTATCTACTCCCTGCTCTCTGCACTCTACGAGTTGCTCTCGACTCTCCTCCCAATCCAATATTACCATGACCTGCAAGCTTTTCGTAACAAAAAAACGGCTGGCTTCACGGGTGGAACATCAAAATGCAACCCTATGGATACACACGCGGAAGCCCAACCAACAGGACTTTAGAAAGGCCGAGCGTTGGAAAGACATCTGACCGCATGTGTATCCAACTCTCGCCAAGGCGGGCCCCGCCATGCACATCCAGCTTACCGGCACTCCCGACTTTTCAGCTCCTTCCTACAGTCGATATCCACTCATCCACATTATATCCCCACTCTATATCCTGTAGCCTCTCTATTCTAGACCCTCTCTGCACTGATTGGGGGATGTCTAAATCTATGTAGTGCTGCGCCATGCGATAACTTGATGTACCATCAGCTCGGGCGTGTCCTCCTACAGGGAGTGGTTCGACGAAACAAAAAAAAAAACTTGAAAATACCCCCAAAAGGTAGAAGAAAAAAAAACAACAAAAAAAAGTCCCCAGACTATGTTCGGACTATTTTTGGATTAGTTTTGGGGTATTTGTGATTTTTCGTCGAAAATCCCCCTGTAGGGGGACAGGCCCGACTTAAATGCACCATGAAATTTCACGCCATGCTGCGATTTGATATACAATGCGGTGCGGTACTATGTTATGAGACTGAGCCGGTGCGATGCACAATGGATATGTACTCAATGTTATGCTATGATACTACACGCCACCAGCGCTGTCAGCGCCCGCGGGAATGAATTGTAGAGTGGCAGGTAGGAACGCAGGGCTCAAACGCAGGGCGCCCAAAATTCTACACCAGCCTCTCACACACACACACACACACAAGTCGGTGGCGCCGGAAGGGACCTCAGGGGCGGTCGGCAGATGGAGGTACCAATTGCGAACGAACTAAATCGAACGCCACATGATGGAAGAGTCCGGTCACGGCCATGCAATGCTGAGAATGGGTGCTGTAGTGATGGGACTGTACACCCAAAAGCGTGCAGCGGCCAGACCCTGAGGAGTACGCGCAACGAACTCAACTCAAAAAGAACTGAACCGCGAGCAGTCTGGTGCAAATTACTGATACCGGGAAAAAAACAATCAGGGCTATAGGGCTAGGGGGCTATAGGGCTATAGGGCTATTGAGCTATAGGGCTATAGAGCTATAGGGCTATAGGGCTATAGGGCTTAAGGCTATAGGGCTGTAGGGCACCCACGGGTACCCCCAGGCACCCCCGGGCACGCCCGGGCACTCGGGCATCGGGGCACCTGGGCACCCCCGGGCACCCCAGGGCACCCCCCGGCACCCGGGCCCCAGGTACCCCCGGGCACCTGGGCACCCAGGCGTGCAGCGAAAATCGGCGACAAACCTAACCTAACCATTTGAATCCGCTTGGACCCCTACAGAGGCAAGCTCTGATTGGGGAAAATTCAAAAAAAAAAAAAAAAAAAAAAAAAACACCGACGTATGATGACCCAAAGAGCGTGCAGCGGCCAGGACCAGAGGCGCACGGTAGCTCGAAACGAGGCAGCCTGAAACGTCGGTACAAATACCCCCGCACACACACACACACACACACACTCTATCTCGTTTTTGGCGTCGCGGCCCCGCGTCAAAGGACAGGGCGGAGAACACACACACACACACACACACACACGCATGCCCTCCACGTTCCCCATGGACGCCGCGGCGTGTCCGCACACATGTGCCCGGGGCACTTGACAGACGCCACGTACTTGGAGTTGCATATCGCCTTCGTCGAGCAAGTGCAGTTGATCTTGCTGTCCCTGGGCGACGCCGTGGGGCGGGCGCAGGGCAAGCTGCAAGCGGGACGACCCAGCGAAGAGGCAGCAAGCGGGCAGGGAAGTCCTCGGAAAGAGAAAGAAAGAGAGAGAGAGAGAAAGGGGAAAAAAAAACAGAGACAGTGACAGAGACAGAGACAGAGACAGACCAAATAAAACCATCAAAACACATACTTTTATGTTATAACAAAAACGCAACAACAACAACAACAACAACAACAACAACAACAACAACAACAACAATAATAACAACAACAACAACAACAACAACGACAACAACAACAACAACATCAACAAGAACAGCAACGACGACGACGACGACGACAACAATAACAACAACATCAACAACATCAACAACAACAGCAACAACAACAGCAGCAGCAGCAACAACAACGACAACCACAACTGCAACAGCAGCAGCAGCAACAGCAACAACAACAATAGAAGCAGCAGCAGCAGCAGCAAGAAGAGCAGCAGCAACAGCAACAATAACAACAAGATGAACAATAGCCACAACAATAATAATACTAAGTTTAAGACTGTTCGTCCTTTCCTTCTCGCGTGCGATTCAACAAGTATTTTCGAAACCCTCAAGACCCGCCCTCTTCGTCTTCGACCGTACCCCTCAGAGGAGATGTCTTCCTTACCTGCCGCGTGTAACTGGCGCAGCCATTAAGACAAGTGAAGAGGGGACGGATGGCAGGGGGAGGGAAAAAGATGGAGCACGGAGATTAGCAGGAGCGGGGCTAGGAGCAGAAAACACGTCGCAGACCCAAACGGGCTGATCGGGCGGCTAGACCCTGCTCGCGGATCTTGAGTCCGTTCCGGAGCATGTGCGGGCGATGCTGGCTCCACATGTGCGCTCGTTGTGCGGGCATGTGCACGGCATGTGCCCCGCATGAGCGGATGCTTCTGACATGAGAGCGCTATGATCTAGTGGTGTGTGCACATGCGCGACCATGTGCGGGGGCACGTGCTCTGAATTTGTCCACCGTTGTTCTGGGTCGGCCCCCCGCCCTTGAGCGGTGTCTGCGACTGTACGCGCATGTGCGTCGCGTGCGCGGGAACCCTTTGTGCAGAATGTATGAGCAGCGTCTCCTACATCGGGCGATACAGTAGGTTCCCACACCGCAGCTGCTTGCCCCGGCGCTGCCCGCGCATGCCCACACATGGCGCCGCACATGCCCGCACATGGCACCGTCCGTGGCCGCGCGGCCACACAGGGCACCGCGCGGCCGCACATGCTCGCACAGCTCCGCACAGCAGGCCGCACATGGCCCCCTGCCCCCGCCCCGCACCTCCGCACATGGCCGCACACCCCGTAGTGGACGACCGCACATGCCCACACATGGCGCCTCTCGTGGCCGCGATGGGGTGCACGGCCACGTGCGGCCGCTCATGCTTGCACAGCGCCGCAAGGGGAAGAATGAGGAGGAGGAGGAGAAGGAGGGGAAGAATGATGAGGAGGAGGAGGAAAAGGAGGAGGAAGAGGAAGAGGAGGAGGAGAAGGAGGAGGGGGAGGGCGGCGTCCGACGGACTCTTGCGCCTTCAGCTCGTCAGCTCGTCAGCTCGTCAGGAGGAGGAGGACTCCAAGGGCCCCGTCCCTCCCAGCCTTCCCGTCCCTCCCAGTCCTTTGCCCCTCCTCCTCCAATCAAGAATGCACGAGCGGGCGCCGCAGGCTGCGCAAACACTGTGCCGGCATGTGCCAGGTGCGGAACCAGGGTTTTCGAGCGGCGCCCGCGGGCCCCCACTGGCCCGCGTATTGACTTGCTCTCTCGCTCGTGGCATTTACCTTGGAGTAGCTGTCCGTGTTGCCTGGGAGGCCGCTCCTGCAAGTCTTGCTTCTGCGGAAGCATAGCGTTTGCGGCCACTTGCGGGCATGGCGGGGTGTTCCTGACCAGCGACCTCGGCGGCATGGATCATGAAGATGCATAGCATGGGCGGGCTTGCGTGGGGAGGCGGCGGCTCCAACGCTGCCCCGCACAGAGGCGCAAAGGTCGGTGTGCACGCAGTGTGCGGCATGTGCGCAAAGAAAACGCAGAAAAACATAACATTAACATGAAAATACTGAAACTCATTCTGCGCCCTGTGAAACGGGCGGGTCGGAAAGGCGAGCCCAAGCGGCCAGGTCGAGCAGGCGGGTTGCTGAAGCGTGCGTCCTGCATGAACCACGAGGACGTCTCGAGCGATAGCACGATTCCCAAGGGAATCGCGAAAAAAACAAAAGGAGAGCACGAGTCCTGAGCGTCGACGGCGCGGCGTTTGAATAAATGGCGAGGAGGTCTCACGCAGGAGCGCGATTCCTGCGTAAATTGTGAGGACGTCCCGCGCGAGGGCGCGATTGTTGTAAACCAGGGGCCAGGGGCACAGTTTGGTGACCCTACATTTTCCCTTGAAACAAAAACCAAGGGGCGAGCCCCGGGAGGAGCACTTTCATTAAAAAACACCATGGCCACCGGGCAGGAGGATCAACAAAATCTGTTCTTTCGAAATGGAGGCTCGACAACAACAACAACAAATAACGAAGACGACGAAGACGACAACAACAATCACACCAATAAAAACAACAACAATAACAACAACCACCACCACAACCACGACAGCAACAATAATCGTTTGAAGACTGTTCGCTCTTATCTGCTCGCGTACACTTCAATACGTTTTAATACGTATATCCCAATACCCCGATACCCGCCTTCTTCGTCTTCGGTCGTACCCCCATTAGGGCTGCATCTTTCTTACCTGCAACGTGTGCTTCGTGCAGCCCCTGAGGCAGGGAAGGAGAGGACGGATGGAAGGAAGGGGCACGGGGGAGGGAGGAGGATGGAGCACGAAAGAGAGTAGCAGGAGGGGGGCTAGGAGCAGAAAGCACGTGATTGAACCAGACGGGCAGATCGGGCGGGTAGACCCCAACGGGCGGGTCGGGAAGGCGGGGCCCAGGCGGGTTGCTGAAGCGTGCGTCCCGGATGATTCGCGAGGAAGTCTCGAGCGGTAGCGCATTTCGTGAGAAATCGTGAAAGAATCCACGGCGAGAGCGTGATTCCTGAGTGTCGAGGGCGCGGCGTCTGAAAAAATTGCGAGGAAGTCCCACGCGAGAGCGCGATTACTTCAGAATTTGTGAGGAAGTCCCGCGCGAGAGCGCGACTTGGGAATAAATCGTGAAGACGTATCAGGCGAGAACCGCTGTTGTTGTAAACCAGGGGCCAGGGGCCTAGTTTGGTGGCCCCCTCTTTTTCCCTTGTAAAAAGACAGGGTGCGAGCCCTGGGAGAAAAACTTCAATTGAAAAATACCATGGTTACCACGCAAGATGGATCAACATTAATATCATGTGAGAAATGGGAATCCAACAACAACAATAACAACGACGACGACGACGACGACTACAACAACAACAGCAACAACAACAACAACAACAACGATCACAACAACCACAACAACAAAAACAACAACCACAACAACCATTATAAGTACAACAACAACCACAACACCCACAACAGCAACAACAACAAATGACGAAGACGACGTCGACGACGACGATGACTACAACAGCAAGAACAACAACAACAACAACAACAACAACAACAACAACAATCGCAACAACAACAACAAACACAAAAGCAACAGCAGCACTACCAACAACAACAACAATAATTGTAAGACGGTTCGCTCTTATTTACTCGAGTGTCACTCAACGTGTATGTCCCAAACCCTCGATACCCGTTCTCTTCCTCTTCGATCGTACCCCTTTTGGGTGGTAGATCTTCTTCCCTGCAGGCCAGGCCAGGCAAGCGGCGGTGCGGCCGCGGACTGTCGGCCTGGCCAACGGCAGCGCTTATCGGCGGCAAACCGACCCCAAGAGGGACGGACAGGGGACCGACCACGACGACGACGACGACGACGACGACGACAACGACGACGACGACGACGACGACAACGACGAGCGAAAGCGAGGGCGAGAGGGAGAGCGACAGCGGGGTCACGAAGGGCAGGAAAGGGACCCCACGAAGGGCGACAGCAGGGCCACGAAGGGCATGCATATGGGGCCACGAAAGACGCGAACGAACGGGGGCCACGAAGAGCAGATAATGCGGGGGCACAGAGGGCAACGACGGGGCCACTGAGGGTAGCAACGGGGCCACCTAGGGCAGCGAGGGAGCCACGAAGGGCGACAGCAGGGCCACGAAGCGCATGCATATGGGGCCACGACGGGCGCGAACGAGCGGGGGCCACGAAGAGCATACATATATGGGGCCGCGAAGGGCAGCGAGGGGACCACGAAGGGCAGATAATGCGGGGCCACGCAGGGCAGCGAAGGGGCCACAAAGGGCTGCAACGGGGCCACGAAGGGCTGCAACGGGGCCACGAAGGGCAGCAACGGGGCCACGAAGGGCAGCGAGATTCCGATTCCTAAATGGCCTGTGAGGGAGTCCTAAGCGCGAGCGCGACTCCTGGGTGCCTGAATATCGAGAGCGCGACGCTTAAGGAAATTGCGGCAAATTCCAACGCAAGAGCGCGATTCTTGAGTAACCTGCAAGCAAGTCTCTAGCGAGAACGCGACTCCAGAGCGCCGAGAGAGCGATTCCTGGATAAATTGTCAGGAAGTCCCAAGCCAGAGCGCTGTCGGGAGCAGGGGTCCTGGCTAAACTGTGAGAAAGTCCCAGGAGGGAGCCGTTGTTGTTGTAACCCGGGGGCCAGGGGCACAGTTTGAGCCGAGTGTTTTCCCCTAGTGAAAAACAAGGTGCGAGCCCAGGGGGAGCACTTCAAATGAAAAAAACACCACGGTCACCAGGGGGGGGATCAACGATAATTATTCTTCAGTAGTGAGAGTTCAATGGCAGCAGTACCAACAACAACAACAAACGACGAAGACGACGGCGACGACTACGACGACGACAGCAACAACAATCACAGCAAGAACAAAAACAACAACAAAAACAACAACAAACATTCTAAGACTGTTCACTCTTACTTGCCCGCGTGTCAT